ACTTAACTTTGTTCAAACAAAGTTATATTTAGGTCCGAAGGTCCCAAATGTAATATCCCACAAATGAACCCCGTGAAGAACAAAGCACCAAATATGACATTGTTTGTGAATCACACAAAATATACTGTCCCGCACTGAGAATAAGGGAGTGGGTGGACAGCAATTAATGGGCATTGTTGTCAGTCATATTCTAGAAACTTTTAACAATGAATCCCTGGAACAATTCATGACCTCATTTACATAAATGTTTCCTTTCAAAACATTTTATCTCGGAGAAATTATTTCCATCTCATGTTAACCCCAGGATAACTCCTTTTCTGCTTTTCCAACCATAAAAGGATTTAATCACCTCCTAAAAGCCACTTAGAAAATCATTAAACCAGCGACCTGTATGGCAGTACCCTTGTGTACCCAGCTTTTATCGAACGTACCATATAAAAATATCAATCGAAGGTAACGGTGGCCAACATTCAGCTACTCGGTTTTTGGAGCTGCTCCTGCTCCTCTGAACTGGGTCTCTTCTTGGGCCAGTACTTAAGCTACCTTACAGTAAAGCATTTGAGTTTTAAGCATTTTCAGCAAAATCTTTCCTTCTTTATAGCAACACAGATGATAGGAAGACACAAACCTTGGAACAAAGTACAAATTGTGTATTCACCAGTCAAGGATTCTCGGATAAAACACAATCCCCGCACCTCTATTCTCTCATTCATAAAGTCGAGAAATTTTATCATAGTGAGGGATTTACCTAAGCTAAGCTGCAAACTACATAGCCTCCTGGCTTTTCCAGTCAATTTCAGGCATTCTTTCCATTGATTTCTTTCCTCCTGTTCCTGCTCTGTGACAATGCATAACACACACACACATGCACACACGCACACGCACACACACAGACACACACACACCAGCGGGCATTCTTCTTCCCTTTCCATCACCTTGACCTGCAGATGCTCCCTCATCCTCTCCCTCCTGAGCAGGTGCAGGATCCTGACTTTGAGTTGCTGGTTCCCCTTCTTCAGGTTTTGGTGGTTCCACTTCTTCATCACTGAACTGCTCGGGCTGGGGAATATGTGTGGGCATGCAAATAAAGAAAAAAAAAACAAGTTTTGCTATTGATTCAAAATTTTACATATATACACAGAATACATAGCTGTTTCTGATCATAACTAAGCCTAAAGACATTTTTCCAACTCTATTCTCTATGGCCAATATGATTACTCTACCCACAGGGAGGTTACTGTGAGAAAAGTGACACACAAGGACTTTGGAAGCTATTATACTCTCTGTTGGAATACATGTGTACGATCTGTCATTAACAAACAAAGCATGAGAAAGAAGTCATGGGCAAAAGCTGAAGAACACGAGAGGAAAAACAAAAAATCCTCCAGAATCAATGTTTCCTTCATGAGACGCCATAATCATGTTTTCTCAGCAGGAAAGACGTTTCTCAGCATTTCCATACTAATGCAACAACACTATCGCAAAAATTAATTTCTGCTAATAGAAAACATCGAATTAACGTTTAAGCGCTCACCAGCATAGGCCCAATCATTTCAGGAGGCTCTACATAGCGTCTTGGTCTAGGCCGGTAGGTCGATCTTCCTCGCCAACTCATATTTCACACTGAAAACAGACAACCGTGATTGGGAACATGCGCTCCAGAGGGCTGCTATATTCGATCACTTCCATGGATCAATGTTAACTTGTCGTTTTAATTTTGAAAATACTCTCAAAATAAGTCCCGGAGTTAAGCATACGTGTGTACGTTTTCTAAGTGCCTACAAAACCATTTATGCTGGCCAAGCTGGCAGAGCAGTCATCTTAAGGCGTGTGGCAAGAGGCAGAGGACTTTTTTTTCTAAATTTCTTTTGGACGAGCGCTCTCGCTGTGTTGCTCAGGCTGGAGTGCAGCGGTGCGATCACAGCTCACTGCAGCCTCCACCTCCTGCTCAAGGGATCCTCCCGCCTCTGTGTCCCGAGTAACTCGGACTATAGGCGAGCACCACTGTGCCCCGCAGATAGAGGTCATTTCTGATGAGGTTTAGTTTCACAAGCGGACTCCCCACGAAAACACTAGTGAATCACAATTCCCGTGATGGCTGCTTTGGGCACACTCCCGCTTCCTAGAGCCATTCACCCCCCTCTCACATGAAGTTTGGTTGCACCGCACTGCCTCGCCCACTCCTTCCAACTTTTCCCAGACCTTCCATGGCGGACATGAGACCTTGCAGTGCTTCTCACTCAGGCGCTCCACACTCCACACCGCTGGGGGGCGCTCACCAGGCCGTAGCCTTCCCAGGTGCCAGGTTACTTCTTTACTGCCTGCCTCGCCCCCACCGGGCACCCCATTCAGGCATCTGCCCTGTGTCGTTGGGGGTTCTGGGCACCTCGGGACTTCCATCCCCCAAACAGCACTCACCCCATCTTCACCTGGCCCCTGACCGCCTTCCCTCTGTGGCCCACCTTCCTCCCTGTCCAGGCCCCCTCAGCACCACAAAGTAGACGGTGGCCTGGCAGCCTGAGAAGAGAAGGAGGACGACCTCGACGTCCTTCTCCCTCAGAGGCCACAGACCAGGAAGCGGGATCCACCGGACCCACCCGAGGCCCACTTCACCCTCACTCACACTTCAGCCCCCGGGATGACTGGCCTGCAGACCTACCAGACGAATCTCAGTAGGGGAAAAAGAGTCCGGACGGCAGGAACGAGACCGCACAGCCTCACAGCTTCCTGGCGTTCTTCACGTGGGCTAACGGGCCGGGCGGAAGACGCCCAGTGAACATGCGCACTGAGACGGGGGCCCAGGGAGCATGCGCGGCTGTGGGCCTGGGCGGGCTGCAGTTCCCAGCCCAATGCCCCAAACCCCGGATTCCCATCCACTGAGGATAATGGAATCCGACTTCCCTTTGCTGTTTCCTTTGTTTCTGGGACTCAAATACCTCAAGTAGTGCTCCCCTCAAAACTCTCGATTTTCAACTGAACTGACCCCCGACACACACACATACACACATACACACACACACACACCCAGGGTCCTGTCTTGCCCTGGCCCCATCATGGGGACAAGAGCCACAGTGACTGCCTGGGAAGACAGGTAGACTACCTGCAAAAACGGCAATAGCAACCTACCCCACAAGGAAATTGTTCAATGTGAACAAGTCACAGAAAGAGACTGAAAGAAAAATGAATTCAATTTCTAGGACCTGTAAAGAAATACTAAAACGATAGCTATCATTTGTAGCATCAGAATCACAGAAGGAGAAGTGACAGTATTAGGGAAACGGGACAGCCAGAGTGGCACCATGTGAAAATCAACTCCATCTTGAAACTAGCAAGATACATAGTCCTACCAGTCACAACCCATGGTCCTAAGATGTTTGGAGTTGAGAAAACAGACGAAAGGTACCTCCACGGACATGCTCCCACAGCAGCAGAAACTGCAGGGTTCCCAACACCCATAGCAATATATGCTTTCAACATAATTATGCTTTCATGGACTTACACACTGGTAAGTCAAGGATAGTTGTCTTTAAATCAACAGAATAATAAATTTCATCATGCTCTTTGCCCACCTGCACAAAGGTACAGATAAGTTTAGTCTTTGTATAGATAAGACCCCTATATAAGAAAAACCTGATCAGGCCAAGTCTCACGCCTGTAATCCTAGTATTTTGGGAGGCTGTGCTGGCCAGAGCACCTGGGCTCAGGACTTCCATCGAGACCAGCCTGAGCAACATCAGAAAATCTCATCACTACAAAAAACAAAGAAAAAGCCGTCAAAATATTACCTGGGCATGGTGGCATGTACCTAGACTCACAGCTACTCAGGAGGCTGAGGTGGGAGGATCGCTTGAGCCCAGGAGGTCAAGGCTGCAGTGAGCTCTGATAACACCACTGCACCCCAGCCTGGATGACAGAGTGAGACCCTGTCTCAAGTTTTTAAAATTGAACTTAAAAACCTACAATTTTATCAATCGAATTCACTATATTAACAGATGAATGGGAAAAAATGCTGTGGTCATCGAAATAGATGCACTGTTTGATGAAACTCAACATAGATTCAAATGAATACGCTCAGCATATTTAGAACAGAATGGAATGACTTACTCTGAAGAAGTCCATCTACAAAAAAAGGACAGTAAATATGATGGTGAAATGTTGAAAGTTTTCCCTTTCTCATCAGGGATAAGACAAGGATGTCCACTATCACCATGGTAACAGGTGGGTCTGTGCAATGCCATAAAATCAGTAAAGGAAATAAAACTCTTTACAATGGGAGCAACAGGACTGGCGCAGAGGCCCACGCCTGTAATTCCAGCACTGTGGGAGGCAAGGCGGGTGCATCACTTGCACTCAGGAGTCCAAGAACAGCACGGGAAACATGGCAAAACCCCATCTCTACAAACAATACAAAAGGAAAAAGAAAGAAAAAAAAATGGCAGAAACAAAATTGCTCTTATTGAAGGATGATATGTTTCTGTATGTTGAAGACTGAAAATGATCTAGAAATAAACTTTTAGAAATCATAAGCATATTTCACAAGGCTGCTGGATAGAAAACCAATATATAAGAATTATGTCTCCGCCGGGCATGGTGGCTCACGCCTGTAATCCCAGCACTTTGGGAGGTCGAGGTGGGTGAATCACGAGGTCAGGAGTTCAAGAGCACCCTGGCCAAGATGGTGAAACCCCATCTCTACTAAAAATACAAAACTTAGCCGGGAGTGCTGGTGGGCGCCTGTAATCCCAGCTACTCGGGAGGCTGAGGCAGAGAATTGCTTGAATCCGGGAGGCGGGGGTTGCAGTGAGCAGAGATCGCGCCACTGCACTCCAGCCTGGGTGACACAGCGAGACTCTGTCGCCAAAGAGAAAAATGAAAGAAAGAAAAAAGAATGATGTCTCTACATACCAGCTCAAACAGTTGGAATATCACATTTCAAAGAATGATACATGTCTCACAGCATCAAAAAGCTAGAAATAAAGTTCACAAAAGATGCGCAAGACTTCTTTGCAGAGGGCTGTAAAGCTTTATTTGGAGAATTGTAATGAACAAATTTCCAATATAGGAGCAGCCTGCATCATTTCAGCGTGTCTTCTTTTAACACTGTCATTGCTTTTCACCTGTAACAGAAACATAACAATTGGGAACATGACTTAGCAACAGATTATTTAAATGACCCTAAAGACATACAAAATACACTACACTTTGGGTTTTATTAAATGGACTAGAAACAAAACCCTAAGGGTGATCCTGTGTCTTACATCCAATTAAATCTCTCTATGCACTTTGAGGACAGACCTGCAGAATTTAAAGGTAATGTCTTCCCTAAACATCCAGTGCTTCCTTTCAATTCAGAAGCACTTACAATTCACAGTCAGCAATTTGGAAAACACATGTGTAAAACATACTTCAGTTGATTAGTCAGGAAGTACTAAAGTCATGGTCTTTCAACTTTAAATCTGATCAATCCATGTCTCTAAAGCTGAAACTTACATGTAACATTTGATATGGTGAGAGATGATTATATCACATATGTGTCGACAGTCTTATTAGAAATACTGGCTCATGAAGACTGACAGTGTGGCAGGCAGCGTGCATAGCATAGGCATCTTACTCACACCCATGCTGAGCATCACTGGCCTACATGCCACAGAGGATAGGAACTAACCGGTCTCTCGCCAGTTGATAATTCTGTCACTCAAGGTTTCCATGAGGAAAGATTTTAAAAGCAATTGTTCATTAAAAGCCAGAGAATCTCAGCTTGGGCAACATAGTGAGACCTCATCTCAACAAAAAAAAAAGTTAAAAAAAAATTTAAAAAAACAAAACAAAACAAAACAAAAAACAACTTAGGCACAGTGGCTTGTGCATGTACTTTCAGCCACTCAGGAGGCTGAGGCGGGAGGACTGCTTTAGCCAGGGAGCCAGAGGTTGCAGTGAGCTGAAATCACACCACTGTACTCCAGCCTGGGTGACAGACTGAGACTCTGTCTCAGACAAGCAAACAAACAAACAAAGAGGAGGGAGAATTCACAATTTGACAAGATACTACGATAGGTATTCAGCTCTCCACACGGAAAAACTAGGATGAAGCAGAGTGACCGCTCACTTTCTTAGTAGCAATAAAATCTCAATTTAGAGATTTTCAGATGACTCAGGCCAGGGTTTCATGATTTGGGATCAACACATCATGTGAAGCAGATGATCTCTGTATTCCATGCATTCTATGCAACAGGATCAAAGTATGAAAGAACCAGAAGGGAAAATGGTTTTAATTTTTTTTTTTTTTTTTTTTGAGACGGAGTCTCCCTCTGTCGCCCAGGCTGAAGGGCAGTGGCCTGATCTCAGCTCACTACAAGTTCCTCCTTCCGGGTTTACGCCATTCTCCTGCCTCAGCCCCCTGAGTAGCTGCGACTACAGGCGCCCGCCACCTCATTCGGCTAGTTTTTTGTATTTCTTAGTAGAGACGGGGTTTCACCGTATTAGCCAGGATGGTCTTGATCTCCTGACCTCATGATCCGCCTGTCTCGGCCTCCCAAAGTGCTGGGATTACAGGCTTGAGCCAACGCGCCCGGCCAGGAAAATGGTTTTAAAATCTCTGACTTCAACTCACTATTTTCATAAGAACCAAAGACAGGTTTAGAAGTGAAAGGACTCACTCAGCATCTCGCCAAGGCTGTAAGAACTGGTATTAGAACCCGCATCAGTGCTTCGGCATTTTTCACACCAAGTGATGGGTGTTATAAATGTGTTATGTATTTGTTAAAAGTAGACCTTTACAAAAGCATCTGAAAATTATGAGCTATTGGTTCAAGGATTTAGACTCAAATCTTCATTCAACATGGCTCTGATTCAGCTTGTTTCTATATCTGACAGTCTATCAGTCGGGTGCTGAGGCCTGAACTATGTTTCAAATAACCTTTATATAAGAGCTTTATTACTAAAGAGGCAGTATTGTTACCTCTCTCTTATTAAAAATATAATGTGGCCGCCACGGTGGCTCAAACCTGTAATCCCAGCACTTTGGGAGGCCGAGATGGGCGGATCATGAGGTCAGGGGATCGAGACCATCCTGGCTGACACAGTGAAACCCCGTCTCTACTAAAAAATACAAAAAACTAGCCGGGCGAGGTGGCGGGCGCCTGTAGTCCCAGCTGCTACTCGGAAGGCTGAGGCAGGAGAATAGCATAAACCCAGGAGTCGGAGCTTGCAGTGAGCTGAGATCTGGCCACTGCACTCCAGCCTGGGCGACAGAGTGAGACTCTTAAAAAAATAAATAAATAAAAATTTAGAAAATAAAAATAAAAATATAATGCTGGGTTGGGCACGATGGCTCTCCCCTGTAATCCTGGCAATTTCAAAGTTCAAGGCAGGTGGATCACCTGAGGTCAAGAGTTCAGGAACTACCTGTGCAACATAATGAAACCCCGTCTCTACTAAAAATACAAAAATTAGCTGGGCGTGGTGGAGTATGTCTGTAAGCCTTGCTCTGCGAGAGTCTCAGGCAGGAGAATCACTTGAACCCTGGAGATGGAATTTCCAGTGAGCCGAGATGGCACCACTGCACTCCAGCCTGGTCAGCAGAGTGAGACTACATCTAGAAAATATAATAATAATTATAATACGATACTGTGGAAACAGACACCTTACAGTTTTCATGCCTAATGGATTGCCTACCTTCTTCAGTCATTTTCACCTCCTCTGGATTTGGCAGGCCCATCTCCTGGACATCAGGACCATCTCCACGCTCACACCCAGTCTTCGAGTGAACCTGTTCCTGGCTATCAGCTTCAGGCTCTGGCCCTTAAAAATAAAAAGTACATATCAATTTAAGCAGCAAAACATAAAATATAAGTAAGAAAATAATATTCATGCTCTCAGTGTTATTATATAAAAGCTTTAGCTAGTCTTATAATAAATGTGTTGATAAGAATCCCAGGAACATTATTTCAGGAGTCTGTTAGGAGAAAAACAGGAAAACAGGGTTTTCCAAATATTACCCTCTTCCTTTCTGAAGACTGCCATCAGACACCTTTGTTGCCTCCTTTGCACTTCTCTGTTATTCTACTTCTGATTGTCCTTATCTTATTAAATGACTCAAGGCTGAAATCCTGTTTCTCACAGCACTTACACTCCTAGTACTTAGACTCTTATATGGCATGAGTAGCCACCAATACATGGTGAGTTGAAAAAAGGTCTTTATAAAATACATGAAAAAGCCCAAACTGCAGAACATTCTGCAAACCAACTGGTCTATCCTCTTCAAAAATGTCTATATTATGAATGACAAAGAAAAATTAAGGAAACACTCCAGATTAAAGCAAATTAAAAACACCTGAAAAGCACATGTAAGACGTGATCCTAAACCAGACTCTGGATCAGAAAAAGAAATCCTATCAATAAAATTATCTGGGCCAGGCATGGGGTCTCATTGCTGTGGGATAATTAAGGAATCAGAGAGACCGAGGGGTTGAGGAGGAATTATTTAATTATTTAGGTGCACCGACCCATTCTGATTAACATCCAAAGGACTGAGCCCGAACAAACAGTCAAGCTACCTTTTAAGCATTTCATGGGGCGGGGGGAGATCTGTGCAGGGGGAAGTGTATTACAGAAGTGAGAAACAAAGACAGTTATTCAATTAAGACATGCATTACATCATTTCTTACTTTTCAAGGAACAACCTATTTTAAGACTTGAGATTATCTGTCTAATAACCTTGCTGCTGCACAGCTAGAGAAACAGAGTCTTCACAATGCCTGGGAAAGGGAGAGATAAGGCTCACTAGCCACAGAAGGAAAAACAGGCAGTTAATTTTAAAGGACTCCAACTCTTTCTTTTCCTCAGGGGGAACTGTGTTTTCTTACATACAACTGAGTTTTTGCTTACACATTCTTTAATTTCTTTTAATTCATTTCATTTCACCCCTTTGGTGCTTTTTATAACAAAGGTGTTCATAGAAAGCACCATTATTTGCCACCTCTTCACGGAGCTGAGCTGCTGCTTCTACTGGCAGCAGTTGATATTTGGTTAATGCCATCAACTGCGCAGTAGTGTGTCAGGTTATTATTGCCTTTATGGTTGACTGAATACTCCCAATAAACGGGTAAAATGCAAGGGAAGATGAGCCAGATGCCAAGAATAAACAAAAACCCACCAATAAGAGTTTTGAATCTTCTAAAGGTTGAGCACCATCCTCCAAACAATGAATCCGGGGCCCATCCGGATCAAGTCTGAACCGGAACATGGGCCAACTTGCGCATTCTAGCTGTGATTTCCATGACAACTCAGCCATTATCATTGATTTCTAGGCAACAGTTGGTTAAATTAAGTTTTCCACATACTCCTCCTTCTGAGGCTAAGAGGTAATCTAAAACCAATCTATTTTGATATATAGCATTTCTCATTTGTGTTGCTTGTATTGCCAATAAATCTAGTGCCCTTGACGCTTCATTGGTTATAATTTCAAGGACTGCCTGCAACCTTATGATGCAGTTGACCATATAGATTGGGGTGTGATATCCCCATGACCCATCTTATGCCCAGGTAGCTGGCCCATAATATTTAGTGATTCTTTCAGGAGGCCATTCATTATCCTTCCAGTCTCCTATGTCTACATCCTTTGTGACATTTGTGTCTAATTTTGTGATTATGCTTCTTCTAGTTCTTCTTTTATTTTCATCATAAACTGGATACCCTAAGAGTTCCCCTTGCTTTAGAGGAATTAGTAAGAAGGATGACTTGATTGTTCCTAATACACATGCCCCTGTCCATTTAGCCAGCAGTTGCCAATATGCCCATGCCCCACAGACCTAATATAGGCCAGAGGGTGCTTTCCAAGCATTTGGAGCCCCTAGAGATGCCAAGAGTGGCTTAGAATAGAGAACCGAAAGGGTTTGGATCTGGTAAGTAGGAGTCATTCTGGGTGTTTCTCCAGAGTTTTGTCTTTAGTCTCATCATAATACTGTTGCCCTAGGCAGATTGTTTCTCCTACTCCCTCTCTGAAAGACTTTCTCCAATGGGCGATACAGTATTTTCCAATTATGGAGTTTTTTAACAACCAAACACTGGCTGAGGCTGTTGGTTCACTGGCAGGGTTAGGCGAAGTGAATTTATCTTGTGGCATTAATTCCTTTGCCTCCCATGGCCACTGGTCCCCCATATTAGTTTCTCCACATACACAGCATGAGGAAATTCCTAAGCTGCCAGTTATGTTTTCAGCTGGTTGGGCAAATAAGTTTTTGGTTGATGGGGGAAGCGCAGGCACTGACAGATCAAAATGCTTATAGAATGACTTATGGACCCGAAATTGCGGGGTTGGACGCATTTGAGTCCTTCTAGTCTTTTTGACAATTAGTAGTGGACTCCAAGGCCTGCTCCTTGTCTATTTACCTGTAATAGTGCTGTCTGTACTGTAGACCAGAAAGGTAGCTCTGGCTTTAAGATAGCAAAATTTAAAGGATTGCATGCCCTTGTCTTACAGTTTGGTTTGGTTTACATACTCCTTAGCAGAGCAGTCCTTCCTGAATGTAAGTGTTGGAGCTCTGTTAGCATAGACCACTGAATGTTACAGTCTAGGCATCTGATTTGTGGTTCTCTGTACAGATGTTTAGGGCTGCTCCTGCTAAGCCTCTCTTGTGTTAAACCATTGCAGACTGTTTCTGGTTGTATGTGTAGGTTCTTAACTTGGTTCCTGTACATTTATAGTAGGTACGGTACAGTAGAATTTTAACTATGGTACTTTTTACCCAGGTAGTGTGTACACAATGTGGGTATCCTTCTAAAGATTTCTCCCCTTTTAGTATAGGCAGAAATGGTAACAACATCAGTGTATGTAATAGAAACATGCTTACACTACACATGGGCATGGCAAACCTTCCTCTGAGCATAGACATTTGCAGCATTTGCAGTAATAACAACAGAACAATCAGTATTGACAGAATTATAACTAGGCTTATAAATTGTATTTACATTTACTTATCCAGAGATGGCCCTCTTAGCTTCGGCTGTGCGTAGACTAGTCAGCTTCCAGGATGTGACTAGAGCAGAGCTTGTAGGATCCTCAAGCTTCAGCCGTGTGTCGACTGACCAGCCTCTGGTGCGGTCAGAGCAGGGCAGTCGTCCTTCTTACCGGTGGTTGGGTTTCGCCGTAGGACCATTTGGGTGGGGCAATCTGGGTCTTGTTAGCTAATCCACTGGTCATCGTCAGGAGTCACGGTTGCCACTGGTTTCAGCCGGCTATTGTGAATCCAAGGTGTGACACCTGCAACTTTAACAGCAGTGGGAGTAGACATGATTACAATATGGGGCCCGTCCCATCAGGGCCCCAAGGTTGTTAGATTCCACCTTTTAACCCAGACAGAGTCCACTGGCTTATGTGGATGCACTGGGTCTGTTAGACTTATAGGTATCCTTTCCCTTACCCAGCTTTGCACCTCCTGCATTGCCACTCCTAAAGCCTGCATCTGTCTCCTAAGGGTTAACTCTCCTAACTCCTTTAAGTTCCCTCTAATTTGATTAAGGATTGGGGGTGGCCTTCTGAACAATATTTCATAGGGCGAACACCCTGTTTGTTTTGTAGGTGTACACCTGACCTGGAGGAGGACCATGGGCAAGACCTGATCCCATCATAAGTGAGTTTCCTGGCAAAACTTTTTTAGTAGCTGTTTGAGTGCCCGCTTCATCCATTCCACCTTCCCTGAACTCTGTGGTCAGTAGGCTGTATGCAGTTTCCATGTGATCTTTAAAAGTTGAGTCAGCTGTTGTACTACTTCTGCCACAAATGCAGGATCATTGTCTGATCCTAGGGTTAAAGGCAACCCAAATCTTGGCATGATGTCTTTTAGTAGCACCTTTGTTACCTCTCGTGCCTTTTCAGTTCTGGTGGGGAAGGCCTCAACCTACCCTGAGAAGGTGCAAACAAACACTAGCATATACTGGTAACCTCCTGCTCAAGGTAACTCGGTAAAGTCTACAAGCAGGTTCTCAAAAGGCACAGCTCCTGCTTCTTGAATTCCGGGGGGTCGAGTTGGTCCTTGTTTTGGATTATTCCGGGCACAGGATAGACATTGTTCACAAACAGCACGGGTGATGGCAGAGAGCTGTGGCACATAGAAATGCCAACCTATCAAAGTCTCTAGTCGTCCTTCCAATGTGTGTTCTTTTATGGATCTGCTTCACAAACCTTGGGGCTTTTGTTTCTGGGATGGCTAGCCTCCCATCAGAGAACAGCCACCATCCATTTTTAATATATTTTCCTGTTTCCTGACCAAACCAAGCTTTTTCACTTCAAGAGTAACTGGTTACCTCCAGTAAAGGGGGCTCTATAAGGAGAGGCATTGCTAGAGTTCTTTCTTCAGGTAAAGCCTTGCTCATTGCTGCCTGCCTAGCCTCTCGGTCTGCCTTTCTGTTGCCCTGTGCCTCACAGCTTTTCCCGATTTGGTGTCCTTTGCAATGAATGACAGCCACCTTCTCTGGAGCCCATATGG